AGAGAAGCGAACTGGGGGGGGCGTAAAGAAAAAAGTACAACAATGAATGAATGAAAATCCAAAATATCTGTAAGTGTTCATTAAAACTAATAAAATAAAATTTATAAAAGAATTGTGACTTAATTTTTCTGGTATAAAATACTCTGACTTTACTTTTATATCAATTAGTTATGCTTCTAAATTTTGTTTATTAAAATCTGGATATTCTGAGGATAGAACACTGTTTCAAACGTCTAGAGCAGTACTTTCATTCATTTTCATAAATTATAAACTGTCCTACTGATACAATGATAGTTTGTTGCCTTGAGCTAATAACATATAATGTATGTGGACTGATCTAAACATACTGATCAAAAACTAAGCAACCTCATTCAGTGAGAGAATAAGCTATGTTAATTTCCTGCGTGCCACCATTACTTAATATTATTTAACAAACACTATGAATTAAATTTTAAAATTTAAACAAATACACATTGGAAGTTCAACAGAATAGAACAAGAAGGTGACAATTCTGTAATTAGTAAAAATTGTTTAGAGCTACACAGTTACTGAAGATAATTCCATACCAATGCAAAGGGGAGATGGATAGTTCCAACGACGAACAGTTCCTGGCATACAAGAAATGTGGGAACGACCCTGTTAAAATTAAAGAAAGCTCACTGAAAATATAGTATTTACTAGTTACATGTTTTAAAATATTTGTCATTTCATTATAAATACAAAATAAAAGCAAATACTAAAGATGTCTATTAATTAATAAAAATAACAAAAAAAATAAGGAATCTGTTTTTGCTACACTTGCCCAACCAACTTACTCAGAAAAAAAAATAATCTTGTGATATCCTTTTTAAAGAGGTTATATTTCTAGCTTGCTTTCTAATGTGAAAGAAGATGAATTGAATAAGATAAAATAAGTATTTTGTTCATCAGCAGATGTGATGGCTTTTGCTTGGAGAGGTTGAAAATTATTAGTAATCACTAGGTATTAGCGAGAAGAGTTAAATGTCAGCAATATGCTGTTATCTGTTAATGAAAAAGTATGGTTTGTGATTGAACAAATCTCTGGACCATTAATGTTCAGCAAAGATTTAGGTCAGTTCTTGCTTCATCAGAGAAGGAGACTTACTTGATATTATTTTTATTATCAGACAGCTTTACAAGCTGTCAAATTAACATTTCTGCAATGAAATTAATCCTTGTCACATGGTATCTCTTTATCCTTTAAATATATGAAAACTTTTAACATTCAAAATCTAGTCTTGCATTTCTTTTTCAAAAGTGAAAAAGAACAGGGTTAAATTCTGAAATGTTTTCTGTAAAATCTCTCTTATTAAGGAAAAGAAGGTCATAAATAATAGCTCAGTGTGCAGACAGACCATTTTCTTCCTCTCATTTTGACTCTGTGGCCTTATCTGCCATGCTTTCTTATCTCATAAATTTCCATTTTCCACCAACTATTAGCATAAAGCCATTTGAAAAAACACATCTTTAATTCATGTTAAATAATCTCAACCACATTGAAAACAAATCAAACAGGAATTTATACTAATGCAGTTATCAATGACAAACTGATTCCCTAAGCTTAGCAACATCTCATACCTCATTTATATGCCATAGAACCAATTTCCTCATAGTTCTTAATATTTTTTTATGTTTTTTAAAGTACCTAGAAGGAGATATAAGGTGTATTTTCAAAGATGACATTCTGAACAAAGTGTTAGTTTTTATCCTGCTAAATTTCATGCTTCCCATGTTTCTTAATCTCTGATTCTTTATATTTTATGTAATAAATTTCTTTCCAAGGCATAAATTAAATAGTGTAACATCTTGAAATATATTTATTGAGGAGAAGCAACAAAAGCAATGTAAGTATTTATTGCCAATCTAGGTAATATTCTACATTGGCTTTTGTGCTAACATTTAATAGGGACCTCTAAAACTTTCAAGATGGATCAAAACCAGAACAGGACTCTAATTTTTATTTATTTATTTTTTTATTTTTAAAACAAAAACAAAGCTTTTTTTTATCTTTTAAAGAAACAATAAAACATGTTTAGCTGTTGTTGTTTTGCTGTTGCGTCAGGACTGACCTTCAGCTGGCCCTCCAGTGGGTTTTCAGGGGAAGTTGATCACACAAGAGGAGAATGCCCATCTTTCATTTATATTTTCAGTATATTTTTGTTAATGTTCTAATACCTGGCAACTTTATGTCATGTCCATGAATCTTACTGGAGCTTGCATATATACGGGCATTTATTTGTAATTTGTGCCAACAAAGACGCTTCTCATCATTATTATGTAGTGTGTGTATATTGTCATTACAAATATATTACAGTGTTAGCAATATTTTAAAATTTCAAAGTCTGCCATCTACTCTGGAATTTATTGTATTTTTCTCTCAGTAAAGGGTTTTTTTTGTTTGCTTAAAAAAATTTTCAAAGTCTGTTTTTATTGTTATAAAAGAACTATCAGCCACTTTAAGTCTTACTATCTATATATAGTGGGGGAAAAATCAAACAAATGTTAATTTGAAGTTAAATGAAATAAAATTAAAAGAACTAATATAAATTACTTTCCTAGATGATCAGAAGCATTTCTGTCTAAGAAACAAATGAATTCACTGTAGCAGATTGTCTTATTCAAGAATCCTTTCCTGGTCTACTCTGAGGTCAATAGAAATATGAATACATGGATGTTTACAAAATTATAACATTAAATATCAAACAAAAAGAAAAGACATGCATGAAAATGCATGAGCATAGGAAGTATTAATTGGAGAATTTGAGACAGAGTAGAAAGAATATTTATATATCTTAAGTCAATTGTAATGTATGCAAAATTGAGAATATAAAGAAGATATTATACACTTAGATTCTGTAATTAAGGCACATTGCTTTCTGTTACAAATCACATAAAGAAAAAAATAATGTATTTGATTATCTTCTTATGTTTTTATTAAAAAACAGAAATTTCATAATTCTTAAAATCTATCAGGTGAAATGAGAAAAGTTTGTTTTAAAGAATGAATTGCCTTTCTATACTTGATCAATGAACTTCTTTAAATAAAACTTGCAGAAATTTAATTTTTTGTTTTAATATTTATTTGTCTTTATTTTATACTGGTTTCTTTACAAAGTTTGAATGTTGTTGTTATGTGCCGTCAAGTCGTTTGTGACTCATAGCGACCCTATGTACAACAGCCCTAAACCGTGCTCTATCCTGTGCCAATCTCATTGCCTCGGAAACACCCATCCCGAGTACCCCAGTCACTGAATCAATTCACCTCATAGAGGGTCTTCCCTTCCTGCACTGTCCCTCTACTCTACCCAGCATGGTGTCCCTCTCTAAAGTCCTGTCTCTCCTTACAACAAGTCCAAAGTATGTCAGACGAAGCCCCAGAATCCTTGCCTCCAAGGAGCAGCCTGGTTTAATCCTCTCTACGATGAATCTGTTTGTTTTCTTGGCAGTCCATGGTACATTCAATACTTTTCTCCAGCACCACAGCTCACAGGCGTCAATTCTCCCTAGTCATTGTCCAACTCTCTGATGCATAACAAGTGATTGCATAAACCATGGCCTGTATCAGGCGGACCCTAGTCTCCAGAGAGACACTGTTGCTCTTGAGTATTTTGGAGAGTTCCCTAACCGCAGACTTTCCCATCGCAGTACGTTTTTTGATTTCCTGGCTACTGGTGCCAAGAGTGTTGACCATGGAGCCGAGCAAATTGAAGCTGTGAACAATCTCAATCTCTTCGCCATCCATTCTGATGCTACCGATTGGTCCAGTGGTGAGAATTTTTGTCTTCTTGACATTGAGCCTCAGTCCATATTGAAGGCTGCAGTCCTTGACCCTCTGCAGTAAGTGCATGAGGTCCTCCTCAGTTTCAGCGAGCAAGGTTGTGTCATCTGCATCACACAGATTGTTGCTAGATTGTCCACCAATCCTAACGCCACGCCTCTCCTCATAGAGCTCCGCCTCTCGGATAATCTACTCTGCATACAGGTTGAAAAGGTATGGAGTTTGAATACATTTTTTTTTACACCAGATTTTTCCTATTTCATTCACACACACCCCATCAAATTGTATGACCCTAAGATTAATCGTCCCCTCCTCACAAATCACCCGTCTGCTTCCTCCCATCCCATCCCCCTCCTTGGATCTTCATATTCATTCTACAATAATGGTTTTATACAGTTATTTGTCTTTATGGGACTGAGTTAGTTCACTCAGCGTAATGCTCTCCAGTCTCTGTCAGTTATTCATTTACAAAATTATTGCTCCTGAATGCTGCATAATATTCCATTGTGTCAACGTATCATAATTTCTCAATCCATTTGATTGTGATTGGACATCTGGGTTGTTTCCATGTTCTTGCAATGGTGAATAATGCTGTTATTAACATTGTTGTACAAGTCAGAAATTTATTTTTCATGCCCATTAGAAAAATATTTTCTATAGCAATACTTGTTTTATATTGCAAAAATCTGTCCACTATTTAAAGAGATAAAATAATTATCAGAACTCTTTCCCAAATCTATGTAATGTATGTTTGGGCTTATTTTTATGAAGGTGACTTTGTTTATTCTTACTTATTTATAACAAGTGTCCATTTATTGAAATATAAGAAGTTATCTAAATTGAAAGCAGGGCTAATTCCCACACATAGTCCTACATGATGTTCTCCTTCCTACCTCATTGGCATTCTACTCCAGTTGCTTGATCTTTCAAAATTTTTACTTCCTCATCAGCACAATACATATAGTATTGCCATTATATTGCTGACTAGGAATTACATGAGTTTCGCATTTAAAACATGTAGTATAGTATTCAGTAAGTATTCAGTATTTCTTAATAGCTGTCACTTGATCCCATTCTACTTTAACATTCAGGCAGAAACTGAATTAATGATGTTATTCATTGTATATTTTTACAACTAATTTCACATCTATAGAGAATAGTTAAAGTAAATCCCTTTGAAAAATTACGCATGATAAAATTATCATATTAAATGTTATATATCCAGCAAAATATATTATTTTACCTGAGTTAAGAGTGAAAATATCAATAAAGTTCAATATTGCTATTGGGCTTGTGATTATATACATTTAGAATACCAATTTTTAGTTTGACAGAGAGAATTACAGAAAGGACAGTGAAAAACTACCTTGTTTTAATAAGTGTATCCATGGTTTTAGACATATAATAAATTATGTAAAATTATTTTTCCATACATTAGCTCATAATTTTCTCTTTTTAGAATTACAATATTATGTTAAAAAACATCTTTTCAAAATTTCCTGAAAATTATCTAAATGCATTACTTGAGCACTTTACACATTCCCTGGCACATGGTAGAAGCTTAATGAAAATTCAGTAAATTGAATCATAAGAACAGTCTGTAAATTGGAATAAGCACTTGACTCTGAAGCAACTCCAACAATTAAGTTTCCAGGATAAGACCTTCCAGACTATGTGGAACCTTGATCTTCAGGAGTTTGATCTGCATGATTATTGAAAACATATACATTTGACAAATTAATTATATAAATCAAATGTTTAGTTTGGAGATAATACTGAAAATTAAGCATTCTAAAGAAGGCCACTAATATGCATAAAAACGTATAATTACTGTGATATTAAATTAGCTTACAAAATTGCAAACTAGGGCTGAAGCTGTAAGTAACTTCCCTGGTGATTTCTGAGTTACACCTCTTTATAAAAAAGAGATTAAAAGAAAGATACCTGTAATGTATACCCTGGCTCACACTGGAAGGAGAGAACATCATTCACCATGTATCGATCTCCAATTTTGATACCATTGCTAGGAAGAGTCGGTTCTTGGCATGCAGCAAGACCTACAGCTGGAGAAATGCAAAGATCAAGGTATAAAGACCATATATGATACAGTAATACTCTTATTATCTGGAAAAAAATTCCCCCCTCTTGTTCTCTGATTGCAGAGATAATCAAGGCTTTAATTTTTCTCCTTACTGTTTTGTAAAGAAGTGAATAAAGGATTTAAATCAGAGATCTACATTAATTCTTAGTAATAATTAATTAATTACTCTTCACTTATGGACTGATTGAAAAAAAAAACAACAAAATACAACACCACAAACCTTATATCTATTTTTTGTATTAATGATGTTGATTTAGCAGGAATTAACACTGAAGTATGAGGCAACATGGTTAAGGTTGTGAGTAGCCTTGATTATACTATGATTTTCAGTGATTTAATGTTTATGTAATAATGCATTTTGGAAGGTATATAATGATTCAATTTGTCAATTATGTAATTATGTACTTGTATGGTTTACCTAATTTTGCGATCATAGGTAGTCACCCTCTATAACACAGATTTCACCTAATAACTAACTTAGTGTTTGGAAACAAACTATATCAATAAATTGATGTACATTAACTTATCTTTAGAGTTAAGTTATTCATATTTATTAAATAATAGAATAGTATAAAATACCTCCATTCCAATGCATATATACTTTAAATTATTGTAAAAATAGACTTCTCATTATATGTGAAAGTTTGGGATATTTGTCATTTGTTTGGTTTTGTTCTGCAAGCATACTTAGCAGTCTTTACTAAGAATTTTATGTATGAATTTGGAAATTCAGTCCTTTCATGGAACAAAAACAACGTAAAAACAAATTTTATACTCAATAGCTCTTAATTTCTGTTGTTGTTGTTGATTGTTGTCGAGTCGAGAATGACCTATAGCGACCCTATGCATAAAAGACCTGAAGCCTTTCTATAACTATCGGCATTTCTCAAATTCAAAGAGTTTCTAGAGACTTGTTGTTTAGGAATTAATGCCACTCCTGCTTCCAAACCTGTCTTAAACTGGGAGCTCCACCAAACCCCATTCACCATTGGTACCATAATGACATTTGACACCCCAATGGCACAAATTCAACATCACAGCAACCCCAGATTATCTCAGTACAGCAAACTGGCAGAGAATACTATACCACTTAGAAGAATGTTACTCCAAAATAAAATAGCAAACAATTTTTATATACCAAGGCCCTCCATGAGGGTTGTGTTGACTCTAAACAAGAAGCTTAAATAAAACACAACCTATATAATATGTTGTTGCTGTTATGTGCCTCAAGTGACCCATGACCCACAGCCCTGAATCCTTCCTGTCCTGAGCCACTCACACTAATTCCGACACACCAACACCCTCTAGTATTGTTTTAAAAGAATTTAAAAATACTCAGGAATTGTTTCATACTATTGTTTAGGGTTAGTAGTGATTCATAGGAGAAAACAATTAGTACTAGTTTGTTTCTGCTCAGTCAGGAGAGACTCAGTCAGGTTTTCAAAGTCTGTACATCACATGACAGAAGATTGCCCATCATTTCCCGGAAGAGTATTCAAATTAGGTAATTTCCAACTGTGAGTCATTAGATTCTTACAGGATTTCCTAGCTTCTAATCTTTTAGAAGTAGCTCATTTGGTGCAGTGGTTAAGAGTCCTGCTACTCATTCTTTTAATCTCCCAGCTACTTTTCAGGAGACTGTTGTGCAGTAATTCTACTCAGTTCTATAACTTTGTCTAGAGAGCAGAAATGCCACATGGGGCACAGAGTAGTTCTGAGTGTCTTTTGTAAAGGGCCAGAGCCAGTGAAAATAGCACAGCTCCTCTGCACCCCAAAGCTGAAAGCAGATAAAGAGCCTGTATGGCCACATTAACAGTAAGAAGTTTGTTTATTTGTTGGTGACTCACAGACTTCACTCACAGTTATGTACTGAGAATGAGGTTTACTAGAGACATAATTTGGAGAGTGAGGGAGGCAAAAAATATCACCCAAAACAAATTCAAGTTTTAGTCTAGCAATTTCAAGGCACAATCCCTTACTTAGTCCAGGCTCCACTTTCAGTTCAGCAACACAAATTCAAGAAGCCTCTAGTTTACTCAATCATCTATCAAGGTTTACCATAGACAGCTTCTCCTTCAATTTCCTGGCAAGGACAGCAAAACCTTTAATTGTGGCTTTTGTCTAAGGGCTTTTCTGATTATACTTTGCCACATTGTCTCCACAGCAATGTCACAGTTCCTCCACCACCATTACTAGGGTTTCACTGCCAGGGTCTTGCTTTCACCAGGGTCTTACTCCAGTCCACTTCAAGTCTTGCTGCCCAGTGTGGGAATTACTCTCTTATCCTAGTCCCACATCTGTTGATGATTTGCAAGATCATGCACCTGCAATTAACCAGAAGGGTCTAAAGTAATGGTTTAAAAAAAAAAAACACACAACAACTTTAAAACCAACTATGAGATATCACCTCACCCCAGTAAGAATAGCAAAATTTAACAGAACAGCAAACATCAAATGCTGGTGAGGTTGTGGAGAAACTGGAACCCTTATTCACTGTTGGTGGGAGTATAAAGTGGTGCAACCACTGTGGAAGGCAGGTGGAATG